GTGGCCTCACCAGTGCTGAATAGAGGGGAATAATCACTTCCCTTGACCTACTGGCAGCTCACCTACCAATGCAGCCCAGTATGCCATTAGCGTGCTTGGCAACACGGGCACACTGCTGGCTCATACTCGGCTTATTGTCCGCTGTAATCCCCAGATCCTTTTCTGCAGAGCTGCTGCCCAGCCAGTCAGCCCCCAGCCTATACCAGTATATGAGATTGTTCTGTCCTAAATGCAGAACTTTGCACTCGTCCTTGTTGAACCTCATGAGATTTCTTTCAGCCCAATCCTCCAATTTATCTAGGTCACTCTGAATCCTAGCCCTACCCTCCAGCATATCTACTACTTCCCCCAGCTTGGTGTCATCTGCAGACTTACTGAGGGTGCACTCTCTGTTGTCTTCCAGGTCATTGATGAAGACACTGAACAAAACCAGCCCCAGGACCAACCCTTGGGGCACTCCTCTTGATACCAGCTGCCAACTAGACATTGAGCTATTGATTACTACTCTCTGAGGCTGATGCTCTAGCCAGTTTTCTATCAACCTTACAGTCCATTCATCCAGCCCATACCTCCTTATCTTGCTTGCGAGAATGTTGTGGTAGACCGCAAAAGCCTTGCGGTCAAAAGTCTTGCTAAAATCAAGGTATACCGCTGCCACTTGTCTCCCTGCATCCACAGAGCCAGTCATCTCATCATAGAAGATAATCAGGTTGGTCAGGCATGACTTGCCCTTGGTGAATTCATGCTGATGGTTCCTAATCAACTTCTCCTCCAAGTGCTTAGAAATGGGTTCCTTGAGGATCTGCTCCATGATTTTTCCAGGGACTGAGGTGAGGCTGACTGGTCTGTAGTTCCCTGGATCCTCATTTTTCTCTTTCTTTAATATGGGTATTATGTTTGCCCTTCTCCAATCATCTGGGACCTCTCCTGATAGCCATGAGTTTTCCAAGATTATGGCCAGTAGCTCTGTAATCTCATCATCTGACTCCCTCAGCGCCCTTGGGTGCATCTCATCTGGCCCCATGGATTTGTATATGTCCAGCTTTTCTAAATAGTCCCTAACCTGTCCTTTCACCACTGTTGGCTCCTCACCTCTTCTCCAAACTGTGCTGCTGGGTGCAGTAGTCTGAGAACTGACCTTGCCTATGAAGAGTGAAGCAAAAAAGGCATCGATCACTTCAGCCTTTTCTGCATCCTCTATCACAAGGCTGCCTCGCCCATTCAGTAAGGGACCCACACTTTCCCTGATCATCCTCTTGTTACCTGACAGACTTGTAGAAACCCTTCTTGTCACCCTTCACATCCCTTGCTAGCTGCAACTCCAATTGCACTTTGATCTTCCTGACTTCATCCCTGCATGCCCGAGCAAATGCTCTTATACTTCTCCCTAGTTATTTGTCCATATTTCCACTTCTTATAAGTGTCCCTTTTGTGATTTAGTTTACTGAAGAGTTGCCTGCTAAGCCAAGCTGGTCTTCTGCCATACTTGCTAGTCTTCCTGCACATCAAGATGGTTTGTTTCTGCACTCTCATAAGGCTTCTTTAAAGTACAGCCAGCTCTTCTGGACTCCTCTCCCCATCAGTCTGGCTCTCCAGGGGATCCTGCCCATGAGTTCCCTGAATGAGTCAAATTCTGCTTTTCTGAAGTCCAGGGTCCTCACTCTGCTGCCCTCCTTGCTTCCTTTCCTCAATCTACCTTTCTTTCCTCAGGATCCTGAACTCAATCATCTCATGGTTGCTGCTGCCCAAGTTGCTATCCACTACTGCGTTCCCCACCAATTCATCCCGGTTTGTGAACAGCAGGTCAAGATGAGCATGGCCCTTAGTCAAGCACTCCAGCACTTGCACCAGGAAGTTGCCCCCAACACTCTCCAAAAAGTTCCTGGATTGCCTACACACTGCTGTGTTGCCCTCCCAGCAGATGTCAGGGGGATTGAAGTCCCCTATAAGAACCAGGGCTTGTGATCAGGAAACTTCCACTAGCTGTTTGAAGAAAGTTTCATCCACCACTTCCTCCTGATCTGGTGGTCTATAGCAGACCCCCACCACAACATCACCCTTATTGTTCTCCCGTCTGCTGGCTGCATGTCCATGGAGGTCCCTTATTGCATAGCCAATCAATGCATTTTGGGTTCTGTGAACTTTAAAGCAGTACATGTAGATCATCTGAGTTCAACTGTACCCGTTTCTGTCCTCTCCTTTAAACATTTTTCTCTTATTAAAAGGGTTGCCTTTAGGTTTGTTGAATGAACTATATTCGTGAGGCAAGCCTTTTTGACAGACATGCTGCAAATTAGCCATGCACCCTCCCCAAGTGCTGCTCTGGTCCCTTTCCCCTGCCTGATCTGCTGCCCTGCTTTCTGACCCCAGCCCTGTGCTCCCTTCTCGATCTGCTGCTTTGCTTTCTGCTTTTCCCCCTGTACTCCCTGCTTGACTTGCTGCTTTGCTTTCTGCTTCCTGCCATATCTGCCACTGTGCTGACTGTCCCCTCCCTGATCTGCTACATGTCACACACAGAAGCTGCCCGTGTCGCTTGTGGCACCTGTGCTGCGGGCTGGTCACACCTGACCTAGACAATGAAATCTGCAAGCAGTTGTGCAGTGATAAATGCTTCCTTGTGGTGTATACGTGTAACAAGGAGCAGCAATAGCAGTGACGGGCATTAAATTGTATGAGTCACTGGGTGGACAGCAGTGATTATAAGGAAGAAAATGCATTTAGATGGTAGTAGAGGTAGCGGTTGTCAGAACAGCCAGTGTCAGATTCTTTCATATTAGGACTCAAATAATGAGAAGGTCAAGACGCATTGGATCTGAGAGCTTGGAGCTATTCTAAGGACAACGGTCTGGCAGCAGACACTCAGTATTCTGAGAATTTGGGACATCTCTAGCACAGATGTTCCTCTGCCTCCTGTAAAATACAACAGAAGATATGATTTCCTTGATTCCTCTGTTTCTCTTGACTTTGCACAAGAAATTGTCTCTCCTGCTTAATTTCCTTGCACTAAAACTGTATATTCTGATCTGAATCCAGTAAATTGGAAGCTGCAGGAATTAATCCTTTGATTAAATTAAAAACCATCTTGGTTCATCTCTGAGATCATGGACTAAACTGGTTCCTGGGACACGATTATAGGAACGTGTGGTGCATTTGGAGTAGCAATCCTGCTGTGGGTTCAG